CCCCCCCCTCTCGCGCAGAGCAGAGGGGCAATATAGACATGTGTTTGGAGCAGCTGTCCATCATATGGGCGCTGCCAGCTCCTTTGGGCGAGCGAGCACATCACTGGGAGCTAAGTGGCGGGGGAGTCTCTTGTCGGGACTTCACCCTGCCGCTGGCCGGGGCACCGGAAGGCTCTGGGTGTTCGTGACCTCGTCGCCGCACCACCCAGGTCCTCGCAGGACTGGCCGTTGGACCTGGCGGCCTTCCGGAGAGGGGGGGGGGGGGGCGCGCCGCTAATGTTCCACTCCACTGCACTCCCTGCCCCCCCCCCCCGTACGTGGCTGTGGGTGGCATTTTCATGCGGCCCCGGCCTTTTAGCGGGGGTCCCGGGGCGCGATCTGTGCCGATCGTGCGGGTCCCTGCTCAACCTGCCGGAAAATAAGCCGGTTGCGACGGGCACACTGTGCTGCTGGCCCGCCCCCTTCCGATGCTCTGTCCGTCTGCCGTCCGGGACAAGGGGGTCTCAATTGCTGACCCGCCCGATCTCTCTCTCTCTCTCTCTCTCTCTCTCTCTCTCTCTTTCTGGTTTTCCCGATCTTTGTGCGTTGCAACGGCCCCAGGCTGCTGGCGATCTGCCCCTCTTACAGGACCGCGGACGCTTGCTTGGCTCCCGTTCGGACCCCCGCGAGGCGAAGATCTCCCCCGCTCGCTGCCCTCATTCGCGATCTGACATCCAACCCGGCGCTAGCGGACCTTCCTGTTCACCGCCCTCAGCAGCGCCATAGATCCGGCAGTGCCTCCGCCCGGCCCCATGGCCGCCGACAACATGACCAAGGCTCCGAGAACAAGTGGCAGCGACATACTCCCACCCTCCCCCCCCCCTCCCCGGCAGACAGACTTCATGTCATCATCCACCTCCTTCTCCGCCAACATCCTCCCGCCCGTCCCAGCTCACTAGCTTTCCCTCGGTCTCTCTCTCTCTCTCTCTCTCTCCTTCCCCTCTCCCGCCCCCTATCGCCCTATCGTCGCATCGCGCCCTTCCGATGACCAGCCGGTGCGCGGCTCCCGCGACATGACACCAGCCCCCTCGCCTCTCCGACAACCGTGCACCGACCCGGCTGTGGTCCTGCCGGCAGACCTCTTTCGTCGCGTGCTCCTCCACCTGCCGGTGGCCGACTTGCTGGCCTGCGCCGGGGTCAGTGAACGCTGGCGCGTGGCTTGTCAAGATGACCCGGTCCTTTGGCGTGCCCATTGCGCTCGCCAGGGCTGGCTTGCGCCGGAGCTCGACCAATGCGACGTCAACATCTGGCGCAATGATCTCAGCGCCCCGCGCGACCGGCCCCCGCGACCCTTCAACCTGTGGCGCTTTGTGTACATGGAGCACTGCCACCGCAGCCTGGCTTTTCGCTTTGGTCTGGCGCAGGCCAACTACTTCCTTGTCCGCCAGGCCGGGCAGCGGGCTGCCCTGCGCGGCCTGCTCGCCGGCCAGGCGGCCACGGCCCTACTTCCCACACCCGAGTCCGGTGCGCGCGATGTTCCCGCTTGCCTCGGCCCTCTGCGCCCTGTGCTCGCTCTTCATCCTCCTCTGCCTCTTCGCTGTCCGCTGCCTCATTCACGCACACGCACACATGCACACATGCACACATGCACACGCACACATGCACACGCACACATGTGCATCACCCCATTGTCATGCCGCCCCGCTCCCTGCCCTCGCACTAACTCACCCGGCTCCTGGCATTCACCCGAAAGATGCCTCCTCGTGCCTGGCCCCCGGGCCGCTCAGTGTGCCACCGGAGACCCACCGCGAGGACAGTCCCGACACCCGCCCCGACCCGGTGGACCTGTTCGATCTCGACGTCGACGCAGGGTGGATACTCGTCGCAGCCAAGGACAGCCGCGCGATCCTGGTCAGTCGGATGGACCTCGGCGATCCGACTCCCGGCCTGGACCCCGAAGAGGGGGTTCTCCTCAGCCAGATCACCCTGCCGGACTCGCCAATTCTCCGGCACCTGGCCAAGTCGGCCGGCGGAACGATCGACGCCACTGCCGTGGCCACATGCCAGCGCGAGGCGAAGGCCAGCCCGGGCCGCGTGGTGCCGCCCACGCCCGAGGGCATCTCGCCGGCCGGATCAGATGCCGCTGCCGGCGTTGCCCCGGCCGCAGCCACAGCACCCCTTGCCTCGGCCACCCCGGCCTCCCAGGCCGAGGGGCCCTCCAACGTCCCCCCGGGCATTCGGCGTCTGCTTAGCTGGTTCGACACGGGGCCGCCTGCCAGCCCCGCTGCGCCGCCAGGCCCCGGGCCGACGGGGCCCAACTCCACCGACGATCTGGGCATGTCGCCGGTGGCCGCCGGCGGCCCCCCCATCGATGAGGCCCAGCCCCAGGCCCCGGGCGATGTCCCCCCGGCTCCGCCGCTGCCCGCCCTGGAGGAGGGCATGCCTCGGCCCGAGAGTGTGCGCCCGGCGCTGGCCTTCTTCCGCCAGCTGGGCGACAAGCTGTCACTGATCTTGTCGCCCCAGGCCGCGCGCGCGGGTCGCGACCAGTCGCCGCCGCCGCCGCCGCCGCCGCCGGCCGCGGCACCGACACCCGCCGGCCAGGTGCTGGCGCTGCCACTGCGCCGGGCGCCGGCTCGTGGCGGGAGCATTCCCACTCGCGGGCCCTGCCTGGCCGTGCGGTTGGTGTCTCTCGATCGGGGGGCATCCGCCTCGGCCCCGGCGAATGAGCCGGCCGCAGGGCGGAGCATCGCCCTGACCGGCGACTCGCACGGCTGGCTGTCCGTCACCTACACGTGGCTCCTGCCGGCGGCCAGCTCGGCGCACCCCGGGCCAGCCGCCGCCCCCGGCCGGGATCTCTTCCCGGCCTTGGCGCTCGGCGGATCACCGGCCCATGTCGCCCTTCCGGCCCACGAGGGCCCGCTGGTGACCATCGGCTCATGGACGCGGCCGGAAACCGCCGGTCTCGACACGGCCCGGTCCGGCGGCGTGGATGTCCTCATCGCCACCGGCGGCTTCGATACCATGGTCCACATTTGGACCGTGTCGGCCGCTGGCCGGACCAGCACGCCCGAACTGCGCCAGCTTTGCACCGTACGCCCGCCTCCTGTGCCCCTCGCCCATGCCGGACCCACGGTCGCATGTGGCCGCCCCCCTGCCCCCCCCCCCCCCGGTCCCCTCCTCGGGCCATCTCATCGCCCGTGCCCTTCGCTGCCCTCCGTGCCCCTGCCGTCGCCCACCAGCTTGCGGGGCACGCGTCGGACATCTACTGTTCGGTGTTCCTGCGGTTCCCGGCCACCTTGGAGCTGTTTGCCCCGGAGTATGTTTCACAGCAGCAGGGCCTTGTCCCCGGGGAGCGGTCCATCCCGGCGGCCATCCGCGCGGCATACTCGCATGGCGGCCTGCCACTGGTCATGACGTGCTCATTCGACCGGAGCGTGCGCCTCTGGCGCTTGCACCCGGAGGAGGAAACCGCCCCGACCGAGCTGGCGGTATGGCTGTTCGCCTCGCCGGTGGTGACCCTGTGCGAGGTCCCAGGCGTGTCGGTCAGCGCCTTTTCCCTGGTGGCCTGCTCGCTGTCCTGCGGCAAGGTGGTCTGTGCGTTGTGGTGGCCTGTGATCCTCTTCGCGGTCTTTCCCCGGGGCCCGGCGAAAAGCGCGCCCTTTCGCCCGTGCCGTTCCTGCTCCGCCCCCCCCTCCCTCCTGGACGGGAGGAGGGAAGTCACACATGTCGGCTCTTACTGACACCCTTCCTGCACATGGGCGCAGTTGTCAACCCCGCCGACCCGAGCGCCCGGTTGGCTGACAGCCCGCTCCTGGAAATCACCCTCCCGGAGGGCGTGTGGGCCAAAAGCATCGCCACCACCCCACTGACCGAGCATTCGCTGCTCCTGGTCGATGAGATCCGCCCCGGGGCCGAGACAGAGCCCTGCACCCCCAACGGAGGCGAGGATGAGGCCAGTGCCGCGGCGGCCGCCGGTCGTGAGGCCGACGCGCGACTCCTCTTCCTCGGGGGCTCCGACGGCCGGGTATATACCTATGAGCTGCGTAGCCTGCTGTCAGCCCGAGTGGCTGGCGCCAATTCTCCCGGGCGCCTGGCCGTATCCCTGGCCGATCCCAGCCGCCAGCCTGCCCCACAAGTGGCATACAGCTGGGAGTCTCACGGGCATGTGGTCACCGGGCTCAAGCACCTGGCAAGCCCGCTGCTGGCGGCCACTCGGCGCCGGGCCCCCGGCTCGGGGATGGACGCCAAGCGCCCGGCCGCCGGGCCCAACACGCCCCGTTCCTCGCCGGAGGCCGATGCTCGCCGGCGCCGGCGCCGGCGGTGCGGCCCAGCGGAGAATGGCACCCTCCCGGGGACAGCCGCCTTGGCAGCCATCCCGGCGCCGGCCCAGTCGGTGCCGGCAGGGTGGCCAACGGACCAGTCACCAGGATGGCCGGCTGCCACCGCTGCCAATACCAATACCACCACCACGGCGGCCGCTGCGGCCGCTGCTTCTGTCGCTGCCAGAAGCGCCCCCGCCAGTGTCGCCACCCCGACACCCATCGGGCATCTGCTGCCGGACGCCTGTATGGCACAGCTTGCCGACCTGGGCCTGGGGGCCGGGCCTGATGGGGACACCTTCCTGGTAAGCGCCGGCCGGGATGGCCGAGTGATCTCCTACACCGCGGACCTAGAGCCGGCCCTGCGTCGCCGCATTCTCCTGGACTTCGGCTACCCGGATGTCGTGCCAGGTGGCGGAGGACCAGACCCGGCGGCCGGCCGTCCAGCTGCCCTGCGCGTGTAGGGCAGCCCCCTTCCTTGAGACAATACACCGATAAAGACCATGGGCTCGGGTGCACCGGCACTAGCGCGGGCGAGTGCGGAAGGGGGGCCCCCGTCGGGGCGCCACCGGGCCCGAGCGGAAAGGCGTTGTCCGGCCGCCAAAGCGCAGTTGCCCGCTCTGGATGCGCCCCCCGAGACCGCCACCCAGGCGTCGTGGCACCCAGCCCGGCATCAGGGTGTCCGCCAGCCGGGTACGCCGGCGGCCAGGGCAGCCCTCGACCGGGGCTTCCATACGGGGCCCGGCCCCGCGCACCGCATCCACCAAGATGGAAAAGCCGTTGCCCAGGGGAAGCAGCCCGGACCCGGCGTCCGCTGCGTGGTATAGCCGGTCCCGATGGTGGGCGTAGCGAAATGTGACGAAAGCATACGGCCGGAGGGACCCATCGCCTGTCGGGCATGCGGAGGAGGGCGAGGGGGGGGGGATGTGCGCCGAGAGGGCGGGAGAGGGAGTGGCGGACAAAAAGCACGTAAGGGCAAGGCCAGAGCCAGGCAGAAGGCCGTCGCAATGTACGCACGCTGGTCCACCACCCGGTCAAGATGCTCCACCGGGCCGGCGGCAGCCGTAAGGAACCCCTCCAGGTCGAAGGTGTCCAATGCAGGGACCAGCCGGCCAAGGAAGAGACTCTTCGTGTGGAGGATGTGCGCCGCATTGGCCGCGTCGTCGGGGGTGGGATCCCGGCGCCGTGGAGGGGGGGCCGGTGATGGTGGCGGAGGGGCGCATACCGGGGCCGGGGCCGGCGCCTCGGCTGACAGCCCAAAGTCACCTGGCGTCAGGGCCGAGGTCACAGGCGACCGGACCGCCACGCGCCGGGACAAAGGGGCCTCCCCTGGCGGCTGTTCCGGCGCCGGAGGGAATCGCAGCTCACGCAAGTGCTTCCGATGCATCGGCCGTGCCTGTGCCGCGCGGATCAGCCCCCGGTCATGGTAGAGCACCGCTTGCCCAGTAGGTGCCCCCGCCAGTAGGGGATCATACTGGCGGATGTTGGATGACGATCGGCCGCGATCCATAGCGCGAGACAGCAGGGGGCCTTTCTTGTTTGCTCCCGAGAGGGGAAGAGGGGGGGAAAGAGAGAAAAAAAGGTTCAGGTGCGAGAGTGGAGCAGGGAGGGGAGGCGGGAGGGGGGGGGGGGGGGGGGGGGAGGGGGGGAGGGGGCATGCAAGGGCGGGTGCGGGGGGCGATTGCTCGGCGTGGTCCCTGGGAAGTGATCGGCCAGCTAAATGGCCCCAGGCCTTAACTATCGCCGCCCCGGCCAGGGAGCACCGCATTAACTGCAACTCCACACATGATCGTGTCACGAACCGTCTGCCGGCGCTCGGTACGTCGGCCCGCACGCAACAGAGCGCGCACAACAATGTTCCCCCGCACAGCGGGCCGCACCAGTCCACCTCTCGCTCTCCCCCCTTGCGCGCCCGCCCGGGGCCCCTGCCCAAGTTAGATGCGACTGATCGTCCGACCATACAGAGGACGAGGGGCCGAGGAAAGGGGGCCGGGGATCAAATGCCGAGAAAAGCCCACCGACACCGGGGGCGCCTCGTATTGGCGGGTGCATGGCCGTCCCCCCCCCTCCCCCCCCCCCCCCTCTCTCTCTCCTTCTTTTTCTCCCCATCCAATGGCCCCTCCGCGTGCTGCTGGACGCCGGCGTCGCGTCGTTGCCGGCGAGGCGGACCCTGTCGCCAGCCCCGACCCTGCCGGCACCGCACCCACTGAGGCAACTGTATCCGCCTCTGTATCCGCCCCTGTGGCCGCGCCTGTGGCCGCGCCTGTGGCCGCGCCTGTGGCCGACGCTGAGTCCGATGTCAGCGCAGCTCCAGCCGAGAGCACCGTAGCTGAGCCTGATTCGGCTCCTGTTCCAGACACTCCTGGTGTTCCCGAAGTTGCTGCCGAGGACATCTCCGGCGCCGGCCAGCAGGTTTGTGAGGCACCTCCCGAGCCGGCCGAAGCTGAGGCGCCCAGCGAGCCGGCCGGGCCCGGCCCCGCCCCCACCTCGGGCGCTTCCGCGTCGGACATCGACCCGGGCGCTAAACTGGAGGAGCCTGCGCCGCCTGCCCCCCTGCCAGCCTCCCTGGATCATGGCGATGCGTGCCCGGCCACCCCACAGCCCCAACTACCGTCCAGCTCGTCAAGCGGTTCCCTTTACCCGACGGCCTCTGCGTCGCCGGGGCAGGCCTCACCGGGGCAGGGCTCGCCGGCGCGCCGGACCTCAACCACGTCGGCTGTCGAGGCCCATGCCGCCGGCATTCGCCCATCCACTGGGCCCGGTCCGGCGCGGTCGTCCAACTACAAGCGTCTGGGTGCGTTTCTGCCGCTTTGCCGATCTCTGTCGCCTGCTTCGAGCCGCCGACCACTTGACATCCCAGCCGCCAGGCCCGCTCACTCCCGATGCGCCCTCCCCACCGCCAGTCACTCTGAATGAGTCCCTCACGCAAAATATTGACGGGCGCATTGCCGCGTCCTTGCGGCAGGTGCTCCGGCAATTGGGCAATGCCACCGGTGTGGATACCACCACCCACCTTCAAAGCCGCCAGCGTCAGTGGGCCGCGCAGCGGGCCGCCGCGGGCCCAGCCGGAGGCGACCCGACGTCCGCTTCTGCCTCCGCCTCCGCCTCTGCCTCGGATGAGGGGCCTCTCCCTGGGGGGGCCTCCTCGGGGGTCGGCGCCTCGCCCGGTGGGACAGGCGCCGCCGCCAGCGCCGCCGGCTCCTCACGCCTCTCCCGCATTACGGCCCTGGCCTATGGGAGTAGCTCGGACCCGATGGGCGATGCCCTGCGTGTACGTCGTCCTCATGGTGCTCTGGCCATCCTCATGCGGTTCACTTCTCTCCTGCACCATATTCACCCCCTTCGCGCGTTTATTTCACTCGCGTCTCCCGTGGTGCACTCGACATGTGTGGCCCCGACCCCCCCCCCCCCCCCCCCCTGCAGGACTCGAGCCACAACTCGCGCGTGGCCTACTCCGACCTGATTGCCATCTCCAAGACGGTCTTTTCCCCGAGCTTCGGCGTGAAGGTCGGGCTCCCGCCGGCCGCTCCTCTTTCCGGCGGCGGTTCCGGCGTGGGCGGCCTCTTCCCCAGCTGGGACACCCTGTGAGACAATACACCAAAAAAGACCGTCAATCCTCGCAGACCCGCCCCTCCCCCCCTCCTCCTGTTGGCCGAGCCAGACGCGTGTGCCGCCACATAAAGCCGAGCACCCCCTGGAGTGTGTGTGTGTGTATGCGCGCGCGCATTGGGCGTGTATTTTTTTTTTGGGAGTTTGTCGTGAAATTGATATTGAAATTCAAAGAAGGGAGACCGGCCACGCACATGCACGGACTTGTGTGTGCGCATTTTCCATGCCGGGAGCAAGGGTGAAGGAGGCGCATGACGCAACAGGGGGAAGAGAGAGAGAGAGAGAGAGAGAAAGGTGAGGGCGGGCCTTCTGTCTCGCGCACTCCCTCCTCCTCCTCCTGGACCGCGCATGCGATGCACTGGGGGGGGGGGGGGGGGCGCCGGGCCGACAGAGTACTCAGGCCGGGGTCATGGCGCGCTCCAGGGCCTGGAGCCACTGGTCCCGGTCGGCGGCATCCTCGCAGGCAAAGAAGTAATCCCGGCCGTTGAACATGCTCACGCGGATGGTGTGCGGCTTGCCGACATTGTCATCAGGCTCCACACACCGGACCTGATCCACGCGAATGATACCGCGCGGCTCCTTGTCCTTCTTGTCGGCGAAGTACATGAGGAAGATGTCGTTCAGCACACACAGGCGGGAGTTCCACTTCTTGGCACTGCTGCCGCTCTGCTTCTGCAGCGACCCGGCCAGCGACTGCCCGCGCATGGCCGTGGCATAGGACGAGTCGCCGAAGAGCAGCTTCAGCAGATCCAACTCCTTGGGGAACTTCTCGTAGACATTGTGCAGCTGGCGCTGGGCCTCCTGGCAGCGGATGGCAATGTTGATCAGGCGCTGGCGCTCGTAATTCATCTTGCGGTTGGCATCCTGCAGCTCCTCGAACTCGGCACGCAGGCGGCTGAGCTCCAGCTCGCGCTCCGCGCGCAGAGTGCGCTCCTCCTGCAGCTGGGCCTCCAGGTCGTCGATGATGGACAACTGCGAGGTGAGCTCCGCCACGCGCTGATCCAAGCGCCGGCGGTCGATGGCCATGGCATCGATGACGGCCTGCTTGTTGGCCACCTCGGCGGCGGCCTGGGCACGGAGCTCCGCCGCCTGGCGAGACGCCTGCTCGGCATCCTCCATGCGGCCGGCACGCTCGACGGCCAGCTCCGAGCCCAGACGCTCGCCGACGGCGCGCGCCTGCGACAGCCCGGTCTCCAGCTGCCCGGCCAGCCCACGCAGACGGGTGATCTCCCGGTCCTGGGCCTCATGCTGGTCGCGGAATTGCTTGACCACGGTGGCCAGCTGGACCAGCTGCTGGCGCTGGCTGGCATGGTCAGCCTCAGCGCGAGCCTGCGCCGCCGAGGCCTCGGCCGCGGTGTGCTGCAGCAGCCCGCGCGTGGTCTCCAGATCGGCGGCCGCCTGAATGCGAGCCTGAGTCTCGCGGGCCAGGTTGGCCTGCACGGCGTTGGTCCGCTCGGTGGCGGCCTGGCGCTCGGTGGCCAGCTGGGCCTCGCTCTGCTGGCGTGCCTGCTCGGCCTGGGCCGCGGTGGCCTGGTGCGCCTGGCGCTCGGCGGCCAGCTGCTGCTCCACGGCCTGCAGGCGCTCGGCCAGCCGAGCTCCCTCAGCCGCAGCCTCACGCCGGGCATTCTCCAAATCATGCTTCTCGGCCAGCACCGCCGACAGCTGAGCACCAACCGCCGACACATCCGACTCGGTGGCTTGGCGCAGGGCCGCCAGCTCGGACTCCTTCTGCCGCTTGACCGACTCCAGGGTCTTGGTCACCTCGGCGGAGGCCGACCGCTCGGCCGCCAGGGCGCCCTCGGCCGACACGCGCGAGTCACGCTCCGCGGCCAGGGCCGCCCGCGTGGCAGCCAGGTCCGCCTCGCGAGCCGCGCGGGTCTGCTGCTCGGTGGCCACCTGCCCGGAGAGGCTGTCACGCTCGGTGGTCAAACGCTCCACCTCGCCCTCCAGCATGGCAATGCGCTCATTCAGCATGTTGGCCTGGGCGCGGCTGCTCTCGCGGTCGGTGACGGCATTCTTCAGCTCCTCGCGCAAGCTGGTACCAGCGGCCTGGAGCTCGGAAATCCGCGACTCCAGCATCTGGCGCTGCTCCTCCTCGGCCTGGCGCCGGGCCTCCTCCACACGGCGAACCTCGGCCTCGGCCGCGGCACGGGCAGCGGCCTCGGCCGCCTGGCGCTCGGCTTCGGCCGCGGCCTCCGCAGCACGACGGGCCTCGGCCTCGGCCGCGCGACGGGCCGCTTCGGCCTCACGCCGGCGCAGGGCCTCCTCGCTGTAGAGTCGACGCCGGACGGCCGCCAGTGGCCGGTAGATGGCCCGGACGAGGATCACCTGCAGGCGCACAGCCCGACGGAAAGCCCGGACCCGGCGCACCCCCTCCAGCACCCCGGCCAGGCGGTTGGCCGCGATGACCGACCAGATGGCCGTGCGGAAGCGCTTGCGCGCCAGCCACTTGAGCACCTTGCCGACGACCAGCTGCATGGACTCGCGATTTTCGCTGGTCAACTCATCCATCAGGGCCAGCTTGCCGGCCCGGAAGAAGACCTTGGTCAGGCCCATCTGGAAGTCCCGGCCGCCATGGAGATCCAGCGCCACGAGCAGCGCCTCGCAGAAGGTCTGCGGCGCCAGCCGGGCGATGGGCTCCGGCATGAGCGGCGCATAGCGCTCATACAGCTCGTCAAAGCCAATGCGAGTGGGGAAGCCCGACTGCATGAGCACCAAGGCCGTGCACATGCCGGAGTAGCGGAGCTGCTCCAGCACGCGAACCGGCTCAAAGAGCCCGGCCTGCTGCCGGTCATTGGGCTTGACGCACCGGACAAAGTGCGACGTGGTGGCCGACAGCTTGGACATCAGGGAGGTCAGCTGCAGCTGGAAGCCCCCGGCCAGGGACTTGAACCGGCCGCCGGTGGTCAGCTGGGCGCTGGTCGGGTCGTCGGCCACCTGGGTGGCAAACATGCCGGAGATGAAGGGGTTCTCCGTGGCCCGGGTCAAGAGGCCAAGAAGGTCATCATGCAGGGTGTCATTGTTCTTGGCCAGGAAGCCGGCCACCTCGTAGGTGACCTCGCCGGCGAAGTGGCGGATGACAAAGCCCTCGCGGTCGGTGATGCGCTTGCGGCCCTGGCCGATCTTGGGCTTGCTGATGTACTCGTTGTTGGTGTGCGTAGTGTGGAGCTTGATGGCCAGCGAGGCATCGGTGGACTTGGGCTACGGCAGGGGGGGGGGGGGGGCAAGAGGACGCGGGGATGTGTTAGAGAGGGGGAAAACAGCAGGCAGGAGCATCGCGAGCCCAGCCGATGGGGCGGAGCGAACAAAGACGAGGACCTACCATCAGGCACTCCTCATCCAGCAACGACAGGATGCCGAAGCGCTTGTTCTCCACCAGGTCGATGATGGCGGCGTTGTCCTTGAACTCGACACGGCGCCAGCGCAGGCCCTCCAGCTCGTAGATCTCCTGCTCCTGGCCCAGAACCTGGCGGTCGAAATACTGCTGGATCTTCTCGTTGGCGAAGTTGATGCAGAACTGCTCCAGCGAGTTGGTCTCGAAGATCTCGAAGCCCGAGAGATCCAGCAGGCCGATGGTCCGAGTGCCGGAGGCGGCCCCGGCGGCCACCGGCACCGCGCGGTTGACACAATCCACCACCCACCGGAAGATGCCGGCATACAGGTGCTTGGCCAGGGAGTCGCGCGAGCCCTGGGCCTCGGCCGGCCGCAGGGGCAGGGTATAGACATCGCGCCGGGCCGACGTGCCGGCCACCATGGTCCGGGTGACCAGCGCACGCTTGAGAGCATCGGCCGGCAGGCAGAGCAGCTCGGCCGCATGCTCCAGGGCCTTCTGCGAAGTGGGGCACACCTTGCAGGCGTCGGCCGTTTCGGAGGCGCCGCCACCGGCGGCGGCATTCTCATCGGCATCCAGGAACCGGATGTTGCCCAGGTGCAGGGTAGCGGCCAGCATGCGGAGGATCTCATTCTGGTGGACGCGCGACACGCCCAGCACATCCATGGCCTGGATGACCCGGGTGAATTCGGCCGCATCGTCCACCCCGTCGATGGTGGGCGCCGCGCCGGCCAGATAGGCGTACAGCTTCCCGGCCCCGGCCCCGGAGGCCAGGTGGAACTCGGCACGCTGGCGGTCCGACGCGCCGGCCAGCAGGTAGTGGAAGATGTGGAAGTTGCGCTCGATGGCCGACTGGCGGACCACGCGCGACGTCTCCAGCAGGTAGGTCTCGATGGTGGCACCGGCCACATGGAGGTCCTTGCGATCGAAGAGGAGCTCGGTGTACTTGCCGAAGCGCGAGGAGTTGACATTGCGCGCGGTCTTGGCATTGCCGAAGGCCTCCAGCAGGGGGTTGGATTGGAGGATGCGCTCCTCCAGCTGCTGCAGCTGCCCGGAGGCCGAGGCCGGGCTGGCCACCGTGGTCAGGAACCGTGTGATGAGCTTGCAGGACTCGGTCTTGCCGGCACCGGACTCGCCGCTGAGTGCGCGCATGGTGGGAGAGGGGGGAGAGGGGGGGGGGGGTCGGTCAGTGGGACTGCTCAAGTTCGGGCCATGCTGGGGGCGGAGATGCACACGCAGGGAGAGGGAGAGGGAGAGGGGGGGGGGAGGAGGCACGCCTGCCAAGGCGAGCAGGGGCACGAGCGCACCTCACGACGATCGTCTGGTTGGACTTGCTGGCGCGCAGGCTCCGGTACGCCCGGTCGGCCAGGGCATAGATGTGGGGCGGCTTGCGGCCGATGGGCTTGTTGCTGTACTCGGCGATGCGCTCCGGGCCATAGAGACCCGGGACCTGGTGGTACGGGTTGAGAGCGATCAGGATGTACGCCGTGTAGGAGTAGTAGTTCTGCATGTCATAGCGAACGCGCAGGTTGTCCAGCAGCGCAGCATCATGCAGGTACATGAGCTCCGTGTTGTCATCCACGCCCTTGGTGTTGAGGGGGTTGGAGGCGGGGAGGATCTGCGAGGCGGGGGGGGGGGATGGTCAGCGGCGGGCGCGCAGGGGAAAGGGGGATTGGCCGCTCGTCGCAGCGCTGCGGCAGGCGC